TCAGGACAACATTGATAGCAGTTCCCAGAAATAAGAGAAAATGGCCCAGGCCTAACATACTTCATGTGTGGACTCTAACTGCATTTCAAAAGAAAAAGTAATAGACTGAATTATTCCATAAGTTATTGGAGTTTGAAATAAACCCACTACTACAATGGTTAGGAAGGAGATAAATTTTAGAAGTGCTAGTAAAACAGGGATCTTTCCTTCCTGAACTTTCAAATTCAGGCTCAAAAATCTGAGGCTTTTGTAGTCTTTGTCTAATCTCTATTGCCTTTTGAATACTATGAGGAAATTGAGATAAGGAACATGTCTTCTTCTGGTTAAAATGCTATTAGTGCCGAGCTCTGTGTGACAATGTCACCCTCTTGTAGCTAGGAAAATAACGGCAAGCAGAAGTTTGTAGTAGCTCACGCACCTAAGCTCACATCTGAGTGCCTGCAGTCGGTCCAGGTTTTAGAAGCCAAACATTCCCAGGCTGGACTAATAATGGGCTGGGACTGCAAGAGGTGGATTGCAGGCTCCGAAGCCACAAGCTGAGAGCTGTGGTCACAAATGCAAAGTAAATATTAAACTACAGAACAACAAACCCATTTAAAAATAAAAATCCTTGGATTCCATTGCCGATACCACTCTGGCAGTAGACAGGGATCAAAAAGAAAGAACCCCGTAGTGCTTAGTAGAGCTTGTGAATTAGCTAAAGGACTGGGTATGTTAGAGATAAAGGTGCTCTGGTGACATTAATCCAAACATGAGACCACAAACAGACATCAGGAGTAGTCTAGTAGATTTATTATTTAAACTCCCCTCATTTTCTGCATCACACCATAACTATCCCAGTGCAACTGAATACGATTCATGTATTGATACCTAACTCCACTGGGAAGAGCCTGTTTATGGTCCCAAATCAACCCCTAAATATATGTGCAGACTTAAAATTAGGAAATTGCTTTTGCATTTTTAAAGAAGCTGTTTGAACATCCAGCCCTCATTCACAATATTGCCCTTCAGAGCCTTGGAGCCCAGTTTACTTTAATGTTACATGAATTTTACTTTCAAGGCGCTATAATTCTCTCGGAAGTCAATGCCAATCCAGTCGTGATCTTTTAAGGTGCAGTGTAACAGTTCATAGAATGGCAGGCACAGAGTTAAGCAATTAGTCCACTGCGGTCCTAGAGCATAGGGAAATGTAATGATGACCCAAGATTTTACTGCAGAAAGGGAGCCCCAGATGCACTGCATGAATGATGCTGACAGATCACCACATTTACAGCATCTTAAATGCGGGTCTGGAGTAATTTTGTTTAAAATTGGAGGAAAATAGCAAAGTCAATGTAGCACAAAGTACCAGCAAGTGTTGTGAATAAAAGCTTCAAAGGGTACTAAAGTGCCATTGATTACCTTTGAGAGGATCTTTAAGATCTCAAGTCCAAGATAAAGAACTTACACATAACACTGTAATGTTAAACCATCATCTCTACATTTCTAATAATCACCTCTTCTCCAGTAGATGAATCCAGCCATTAGCATCTTGTCAGGGGGTTCTCACTAAAGATACACAAGGAAATCATAGCAAGTTAGATTCCTGTTAAGTTCAACAGTATTATGCCCTTCGAAAGCCACCAGTGGTCACCTCTGCTTTGGCAACTAAGATTTTAACATGTCTGTTCTTAATGATGGTTTAATATCTTGCAGATCTGGAAAGTCAGTTAGAATTTAGAGGTGGCAACAATATGCCTCATCACCTTTCTCTATATTTTTATTGTACCTCATACCCTGGCTTTTTCTATAGAAATAGAATCTAATAAACCAAGATCATAGACTTTTGGGGAGAGGAGGAGAAAATTACACCTTTGGTTGATAATGATAACAAGATTGCCATGTGAAGTATTTGAATAGATACTGTCATTTTGAGGAGGAATTTAGAACAATGCAGGATGAGTGTGGCATGGGTGAAGTGGATTTAAACCTGCAGAGTGCTAAAAGGAGACAGGGAATGAAAAGGGAAATCACTCAGAGCATTTCCATGTGTAACCTCCAAGTCCTGGTCTTCACAGTTCAAGAAAGCTGTTGACAGTGAAAGCTGCTTTAGAAAAAAAAAAAAAAAAAATCACTAATTGTTTCAAAGACAAGAAATGTCACCTTAGACTCAAATCTCTACCCAGGTACCAAAGACCAGCTAATGGACTGACACGGTGGAAACTCTTACATGAGGAACACTGTGGCAATAAACTCAGCCTGGAAGACAGAAACAGACAATTACAGGGGCTTGAAATAAGAGCTACACAATGCATTTTAGTGCATTTAGCATAAAGCACCCTTCCATCATTACCGCTTATCTCATCCTTCTTCACTAGTACTTTCATTGCTATTTCAACCCTTGAGCAGTTTCTCTCATTTGTTTTTGACACTTCGGGCTTGTCCTAAGCCTGCTGAGTGATGACATTCCCTGAGTGGCTTTTCAGGGAGATGCAGTGAGGGAATGACAGCAAGTCATGTTTTGGGAGCACCATCCTCCACTTGCAAGACTCCCGTGAGCATTTTTAGGGTCAGACTGCCTCCTGAGGAAGGAAGCCAGCACCAGATCCCCATTCTCTCTGCCTGCGTGGTCAGTACCTCTCTGCCTTTAACACACAGGCTGCATGAACTGGGACAGGCAGCAGCTTGTGTTTGCAGGGACCTCAAGAACAGCCTGGAAATGTCAGAACTCCTTTACTTTACAGGCCCGCTCTTGGGAAGCACGGGAAGAAGCCCAGTCCGGCCACAGACTGCCGTAAGGAGGGTGCTGTCATGCAGAAAATCTTGGCAGAAGCCTTCGATTGCTGAACCCTCTCCCAGCACCACACAACCAACCCAGCCAAGCGAGCGACAGCTACTAACAGGCCATCTCCCAGCCTGGCCCAGATCCGACTTGCTGTCTGAGCCAATGCTCGCTATCGCTGTGTTACTTTACCTAGACAGAGCTGGACAGGTGGCACTGGCAGGAAACCAAAGAAAAGCAGTTCATTCCTGGGGAGTAGTCTTCCATCTGAGATGGCACACGTGATAGAAGATGTGGTGTGTATTGGCAGCAAGATCAGATGTGCCTTATAACAGTTTCTGAAGCTTTGGAACTAGCTCAGGCTTGAATTTCAGAGGAATTTGGTTAACTTGTTCTGTTTTGTCTGAATAGCACTTTTTTTTTTTTTTTTTTTTTTCTGGCTTCAGCTCTGGTTGGGAGTGCTGAAATACCACCACAAAAGCTGCATCATCACTTAGCTTTTTATTATAGTCTTTCAGCACTATATGACTGCTAGTGACTCTCCAGCCATGCTAGAAATGGGAAGAAACAACCAACAGTTCTTTAGATAATGCAAAAAGACCATGTCCTTCTGCCAACAGCCACCCCCATTTGCATTTCCCCTCTCGCCAGTCACTGATGCTACCACAATATGGGATTAAATGGATGTCCCCTTTACCTTCAGGAAGGTTATTTGTAGTGGGAGGTATTTTTCAGCGTGAGTGACAGCACTGTGGTGGGAGGGAGAGAAATCCCTTGAGGGGTCTCTAATACCCCTCCTTGCATTTGCCATTCCTTAGTAATCTCTTCTCTGCAGGCCTGTCCTACCCAACCCTGCTTAGCTAGTAATTGCTGAAGGAATCAAAATACAAGGTATGGCAGCAGCAGGCATCCAGTGGAAAAAAAATCCCCACATGCACATGTACAAGAAGGAGAGAAAGCACATTAACGTAAAGACAACACTTGCAGCAGGCTGGTGTGTCCTTGACCGAAGGAGACATCAAAGACAGCTTCAGTGATTTACTTTTTGACAGGCTGGCATCTCTGTGATTCACAGAGCTAATCAATTAGGTAATACATTCCCCCTCCCTGCCACCCCTTTATTTTTAACAGCTTCTTGCCAAGAGTGGAAATGCTCCAGACCATGCTGCAAAAGCTGACAAATACCATCCCAGTGGGTCTGAAAGGGGGTCAGGGCACCGCTAAAGGGGATTTGTCACAGGGGCGAGGGCAGTTTAGCCCCATTGACAGTGGATGCACCGTATTTCTGGGTTATACAACACAGTCGATGTTGCACAATTGCACAGCCCCTCCATTTAACTGGACTTAGGTCTATCCCTGCCTCACCCCTTCTATGCCACATGCAGGCTTTACAAGCTGTCTGGCACTTCAGTCCTTCAGCCATATGCAAACTTGGCCTTCAGAAGCACACTTCCCTCCGAGCATGCATATTTACACATACAGACAGTAACAGGGACTCTTTCTTAGACCCAGAGTGACTCTTCATAATTCTTCCATGCTACATTCAGGCACACAGACATATACGTGCACATAAATAAAAGACATATGCAAAAATGTACCGGCCCCCCTCACGCACACAGATACATCTCTTGATCATGTGCATAATGATGTCCAGTTGCCTGATCCACACTTTATGCATTTTACACACATAAGCGCTCACGCTTATTTCACTCACTCTGTGGCACATATGCACCAACACCAATGTATGAACCAACTTGCTGCCAGTGGCTGCTCTGATGACCGCTAATGGGGAAAAGAATTAGTAAAAGGCAGCATGCTTATTGTCTGATTCCTCTTAACTCTTTCCAGGTGGGATGTAAGAAAGCAGAGCATGGTGTTACATCCCAAACCAACAGCATCTGCAGTAACAAGACCCTTCAGAACTGTTCAATTTTGAATCTTTGACATGTAATGATCAAAAATAAAACACAGCAATCCTGCATTTTCCAAATGCTGCATCAGGGGACAGCGCACTGCTCTTCATGTGAAAACATCATGTTGACTGTCCTATTGCAAAATGAGAGACACTGTCACAGTAGAGCAATTCTTAGTGAGGAGTGAGTCCTGGGAGGCGCAGAGGCTGGAAAATATGCCACAAAAGGCTTCTGGGACTGAGAGCTGCAGCTGGCCAAGTACTGCAGAAAGCAGCCTGCGTTTAATGTTTGTGCTTTCTCTGAATGAGAAGCTATGAAATCTGGCCACAGTTTAGTCCATCAGGAAGATGTGAGCATTTTGGGGGGTTGGGTGATAAACCCCTCCACTCATTAGATTTTCTGAAGCTCATGGTCATCCCAGGACAGAAATCTTCTCAGGGACGCACATAAGGACTAAACCATTTTGAGTCATACCCAGAGTCTGAACGAGCCAGTCAGTGTTGAGATGCTGAGCCAGCCATATCAGTATTTGCAGTGTTTAAAATTTCATTGGAGATAATATCAGAAATCACTAGTCTTTATGGCTGCAAGTCTTATCATCTGAACATGGCCACTGTAGCGCTCCCCATATGAATATGCTTATGCCCAGCTCAAAGCAGCAGGCAAGAGTCAGAGCAGATATAAAGCACAAGGAGAAAGCAATAGTGCTGCTCTGATGTAAATCCAGGTTCAGGAAAGACCCCCAGTTACTCCTCAAAGAAAGGACATTTTTCCCTACTTGTCTCAAGACCCATGACCTGTCCTGGTGTTTCACAGGAACTATTTTGGTGAATGTTTAGATAATGATCTTTCTAGGAGAAACATGATGCTAACAAAGACGAGAGGACAGTGTTATGCACTGGCAGAGCACGATCAGACGGAGATTTGTCGAAAAGGTGGGAACTCAACAGATTTTACCCCTGCTTCCTAGCATAACAAGACATAACATAGTTGCACGGTGAAGAAATCCTCTCCTCTGGGTTCAGACTGCAAATCTCCCACTCTGACACATTGGGTTCAGAGCATGCAGGCAAAAAAAATTACAGTCTTAGCCTGTTCTCTCCACCTCATAGCACAGACTGTCTTGAGCATCCTGGGATGCACCCAGCTGAGCCTTGGCTCCTGGCTCTCTCTGACTGTTCAAAAGAGTCTCCTGCAAAAACAGAGACATTGTTGAATATTCTCTGATTTGATCTGGATGAAATCTCTCATCAGATCCTGCTGCTCTTCATGGCAAAATACCCACAGGCAACAGAGTCCAATTTTTACCCGTTCAGCTTCAGGCATAAATTTGCTGTTTTCAAAGTGGAGACAGCATCAGATGGCAGAGCGAATGGGGGAAAAAAAAAAAAAAAAAAAAGTCCTTCACCAGCTGTGAAAACTGCCCTTTTAATTTTCATGAAAAGATATGAGACAAGAACAAAAGAAATGTTCTGCTGGCTGTTTTATTCCTCATTGCTGTTGTCGACAGCAAGCATTTCCTCTCACCATTCAGCTCTTAGATGTCATTAGCTGCTGGATCTCTTTTAGCTTCTCTCCTTTCCTCTTGGTGAGTTACATCCTTCTAGATATCACCTCTTGAATTCACATTCAGTTGGGGGGGGCAAGTTTTATCTCTTCTGCCTGTGACATGAAAATGGTTGTTTCCTCTTCTCCTACCCAGTTTTCTCTGTTGAGGTAAATCATCTACCTGTTTCTATTACTTCACTTTGAGGTCTTGCTTCAGATGCTAGTCTTTCTGTTTTACATCTACACTGTATCTCATTAAAACTGTGCATCGGTCCAGATTTCTCCTCATTACAGCAGGCAGGGCTTATGGGAGCACAGTTATAATGAGGGCAAAGAGTATGGCTCAAAACCAACTTCTAATAGCTCATTAGTAAAGAAAAGACAAG